ATTAAATGTCGCAGATTTGATCCATAAGTCGAAAAATGAATATAGATCCATCACCTATATTAATCAATTTTAGCAAAAAATGACAAATTATAAACTAAAACAAGCAAAAATGTACGGAACTTGAAGAAAAAACAAGAAATTGGAGGTCAATCTATATTTCTTTTTTTTATTATTTTTTGAAATAAGATTGTCGATTCACATTATTTGTGAACAACCATGCCGATTCGAGTAGATCTTGAAAATATAAAGTCAAAACAACTACCGATTCACTTTTTTTTTTAACAACGATCTCGGATACAAGAAGTACAAAATAAATTAAAAAAATAAACGAGCTCAGTTTATATTTTCTGAATCTCTTCAGACATACATACTAATCAGTTCATATTTGACTGAGGTAGTGATAAAAATCTACTAACTGGAGTTCATAACGATAAAAAATTAAAAAAAAAAATCTAAACAAAAGATCTCAGATTAATTTTTTCGAATCCCGTCTCCAAAAATATGGGTCAGGTCATATTCGACTGAGATCCTCATAACAAGAGCTCAGTACACTGATAATTAAAAAAAAAAATTGTAAACAAAAAATTAAAAATGAAAAAAAATCAGACAATAGTCATAAAGAAGGAGAGAGTGCCAAAGTGGATTGCAATATGAGACGATGGGAATGTACAGAAAAAAGAAAAACGCATAATCCTAAAAAATCGGGGTTTTTCATCAATTTATAGTAGGCATCATTGATTTATGGTCGTTAGATATTATTTGACTAATAAGGGTCGTCCGATCGTGGATTTAATTGGAGATGGACCGATTTACAACAATGATGTTGGGCCGATTTCAATATAATTCTATTGGGCCCATTCTGAAATGGTTATCGTACATTCTTGCCCATTAATTAGGCAATTGTATTATTACATAAATCAAAACAAATATTGGTAGGCTTATTTAAATATCATAAATATTACAACTAAAAGTCATATGTTATGTTACTCAATTTATAAATTATATTTTTTAATATTGTTTAACACCTATATTGTTTTAATAAAAATAAATTATTATAATATATCATATAAAATAGAGAAATGTGTTTATTTGTTTCAATTAAATCGTAAATAATTTTTTTTTTATTTTTTTTTTTAGAAAAAAGAGTGTCGAATCATTCTATAGTTATTAGTTGACCAAATAGATAAATGTGTTTATTTGTTTCAATTGAATCGTAAATAAAACATATTTGTGACTAAGTTCTCCACTCATGTTCTCGAATGTAAAATATTGACAGGAGATCACGCTGGCGAGAATGTCTTGATTCCTAAAATGAATATCACTCAATCTGATACTATAATTCCATTTAAGTTCCAGCAGCTACAGTTCCCACTTATAATTTCGTATGCCATGACCATAAACAAGAGTCATGGACAGTCTTTATCGCATGTTGGTTTATTCAATAATATATGACGAGTTACCCAATAATCAAACTCATAAAGTTTTGTACAATGAAATTTTTAATAATATATAATTGTTTCGTGACGAACATTTTATGATTCAATAATGTTCCTAAGTATTATAATTATATCGATCCTAATGCATTTCAATTTATATTATTCTCCAAATTTTTACAGCCCGTGCATCCCACGGGGTTACCCACTAGTTTTAGAAAAAAATGTGATACAAAATTGATTTTGTTGGATTTATTGTGAGTCCCAAATAAATTTGTGATACAAAATTGATTTTGTTGGCTCTATCGAATTTGAGAAAATCAAAACTCACTCGTTAGTCTTGGCCGTGACACCATTGACAGGTACCTTTGTGGAAAAAAACAAAAACTTACTAAAAAGAATTTCATTTGAAGGGTCAATGAGAAAACTTGAATTTTTTTGCAATTGAAATATTTTTGGTGATTTGGTAAAAATTAGAAAAAACAATGCCAAGATTAATTGAGATGTAACAACTGCTTCAAGCTTCAATGAAGGGAGATGGGAATGATTAATAATTTTAACAATATAAAAAATATATACTACTCTTTTTGCCACATATAAACAATTAGACAATTAATTTATTTTTTTTTTAAAAAAAACTAATATATCATACTTTTAAAAACAATATAAATAAACTTATTGGTCCCCCTAATTAATAGTTAGTTCAACTAATACAATAATGTGTCCAAATAGTAATATAATTAAATATACTTAGAAGGAGTAAATGAGCCATGTTGTGGCTCGAGCCGTAATCGAGTCAAACCAATCTCAACTCGTAATGACAAACGAGTTCGAACTTAGTCGAACTTAACTCATAGCGAGTCGTGATATAAAAAATTCAATCTTAAATCTCAACGAGTTGAGTCGAAATGGATTTTGAATGGGTTATAAAAACATGAGTCGAGTGGAGTCGAGTCGCATCGAATCGAGACGAGCTCAAGAGCGTATTCAACTGTACAAAACGACAAACATATGGTCAAAATAATTTGAGCTCGGTGAGCAAACAATCATTAGCCACCGAGCTCACCAATCTTGAACGTGTCCGGCGACATATGTCGGAATCCGTGACGTGTGAAGTGTGTGGTGAAATTGAATTAACACTTCATGTTATTCGAGACCGCCCGGAGGCGAAGAGGACCTGGCTCCTGTTGCTTCGCGGTGTGCCTGGCAATTTTTTCCTCTTGCCTTTGAATGAGTGGCTGCGCACAAACATATTGAGACCTCGGCTGGGACAATCAGAAAATTGGCCTACTGTTTTCTCAGTTGCGACGTGGCGGCTCTGGACGTGGCGTAACGACCGAATCTTCAAGAATAAAGTTCTGAGCAGCGAGGCTCGCGCTTTGGAGGTTAGGCGCATGGCGGCGGTTTATGGCAGGGCTGAGGAGGACTATAGGACGGTTGGGGCGGCCACTTATTCTACACGCTGGATCCGGTGGCGTCCCCCGGACCCGGGATGGGTGAAAGTGAATACTGATGGAGTAGTGAACCGCCAAACGGGCGTAAGCACTGCGGGTGGTCTAATACGAGATGATGTGGGAAGGTGGCTTACGGGCTTTATTATGAATATTGGCTCCTGTACCATTACAGGAGCCGAGCTGTGGGGACTTTTCCAAGGACTCTCCCTGACTTGGGATATGGGATTTAGACGGGTGGTGGTTGAGCTTGATAGTCGGTGCATTACGAAGATGGTGCTGCACGTGGGCGGCGATTTGGGTACCCATGGGGCCATGGTCAAGGCAATCCAAGATTTACTACGACGAGAGTGGACCGTGCGTGTACAACATGTACATAGGGAAACGAACTTCGCGGCCGACCATTTGGCAAGTTTGGCAGAATCCCATCCTATTAGATTGCTTCGTGTTGTTCCCCGCCTCTAGGTGTTGGCCCATGGTTTCAGCATGATATTGTAGGGGTCTCTTATTCCCGTCGAATTCTAGACTAGGAGTTTGAATTTCTTCTTTGCACCTAAAAAAAATAATAATAATTTGAGCTCAAAACTTTTTTTTTAAATATCATTTCCTTCACTAAAAAACTAGTCTGTACCCCGTGCGATGCACGAGACAAAAACATTAAATGTGTTACTTCACATGCTTTGTCCGTTTAAGTATATAAAGCAATAGAATTATCATTTATTTTTCATCTCTTTTAATCAGCTTAAGTATAATAAACAATAAAGTTATAATATATTTTGCACCTCTTTTAATCAACATTATTTTTTTAGTCAAAATAATAAAATAACTAATATATTATTTCACTGACACATTTATCCTAATTTAAATTTGATTTTAATATATATATTTATTCCTTCATACAAGAGAGAATAACAATTTTACTCATTCTTGTTCACCATATAATATTTAATTATTATTTTATTATACACTTTATAACATATAATGTCATTGTTATTTATAAAGTTATAGAAGTTGTACGTCTTCCTTATATTTTTATTTTATGTAATGAAAAATATTTAATGCACGTTTACATTATTTATTTATGTAATCAATTTAAAATATGTAAATAAATATAATATTAAATAATGTATAAATATTTTACAAAATATACACATGTGTTTTTAGAATTTAATTTTATATACTAATTAAAAAACTTTGATTTAGAAAATCCTAAAAACTCGATCCCTTATATGATCAAGATTTTTCTAGTTCGCATTATAAGGATTTATGTCTTATTTAGCATACTCAACAATAAAAATATATTTTACAAGAATTTAATTATAGAAATAAATCAAAATAAAAAAAATGAAAAAATATAGTCATGGGTGACAATATTATACAAATAAATGCTAAACAATAGTTAATATGTGTCAAAATTAAAATTTTTACCATTAGTAAAACTATTTATTGTATCTGATCAATATCTCTTAAATGGTAAATTATATTAATTTGAAGAATGATTTATTTTATATATTTAACAAAATAAAGCTTAAGAAACATATATATTGACAAATATTAATTCACCAATTTGATTTTGTCTGATTACTTGGAAAAAAATTTCTACCTAATTTGTTACAATTTTTCACAAATATTTTTGGATAAAAAGTGAATATTTGTGAAAAAAAAAAATTAATATTATGGTTAGAACTTAAAATATGGTGTAATATTATCTTGACCAAAATATTATCAACATGGATCACATAAATCAATCTTGTAATTCATTATAATGTATATCAATGAAAGTATTACAAATATTAATAAAATAATATTTGTCTTGACCAAAATATTATCAACATGAATCACGAAAATCAATCTTTGTAATTTATTATAATAAATATAAATAAAAATACTGCAGATATTAATAATTTATTTAAGTAATTATTTGATCTTATTTGAGAAGGTGTGAATAGAATCAATTAATGCATATAGTATAAAACATTTCCAAAAATAGCATGCATTAAATGTTTTCTAAATTTTTGTTACTATTTTTAATAAATGTTAATTCTTTTTATATATATATATATAGATCGGTAGCCAACTAATCTTCAGATAAAACTTAAAAGAGAGGGAAAGGGCAATGGTTGGGTTCAAGGCCTTGGCCTGGCTGCCGGAACCGGCACACCGCCGGTTCGCCGCCGTGGAAAAGAGGAAAACCTCCAATCTAGGGATTCTCGCCTTCGAGACGGCGAAAATCATGTCCAGGCTGGTCTCCCTCTACACCTCCCTCTCCGATGACGAAATCTCGCGGCTGAAGAACGACGTCATCCGGTCCAAGGGCGTTCGGTTCTTAAACTCCGGCGACGAGGAGTTCCTCCTCGGCCTCGCGCGCGCCGAGAAGCTTGAGGATCTCGACCGGGCCGCCGCCGCCGTCGCCTGCCTGGGCAAGAAGTGCGATGATAGCGGCCTGAACCGGTTCACATCCGTCTATACGGATCTGAAGTTAGGGTTCATCGATTTGGGGAAATCGGATCTGTACGGATCGAGGTCGGCCGCGAGAAGGGTTGGGAGGATGAAGAAACTGGCCTCGACGACGTCGTATTTGCGGTCGGCGATGGACGTTCTGACTGATATGGAGATCTCCGAGGGGAAGCTGAAGCAGCTCAGCCGCCGGCAGGTGGAGATGATGAAGATCGACCCAATCGATTTCAGCCGAAAGCTCGAAAATCACCGGAGAGAAGTTCGTCGTCTCCAAGAGACCTCTCTCTGGAGTCAAACCTTCGACAGGAGCGTGGATCTCATGGCCCGGACCGTATGCGCAGTGTACGTAAGAATCCAGGTCGTTTTCGGGCCGAATCAGGGGAATCTCGGGCCGAATATCATCCCCCATTCTTGCCCGCTGCTTACCGAATCGAAGCCCGTCCAGTTGCACAGATGGAGGTCCTCCATCGACTTCCCCAACGAGTCGAGCCACGGGCCGGATGGGGTGTACCACTCGGCCGGGCCCAACACTGTAGGAAGTGCGGGCCTGACGACACTGTATGCCAACGTGATTGTACTTGCCGAGAAGTACCTGGGCTCGGAAAGCCCGATCAGTCACGACGAGCGGGAGGGACTCTACCGGATGCTGCCGGAGAATCTGAAATCGGCATTGAGGATGAAGCTGGGGAAGAACATGAGGTTTGCGGAAAACGATGAGCTGCTGGCAAAAGGGTGGAAGGAGGCTGTGGAGGATATGTTGAGGTGGCTCGGTCCCATGGCTCGTGATAGCTTGAAGTGGCTGGTGGAGAGGAATGTGTTGGAGAGGATGAGACTCGATGGGTACGGGACGAAGGGTAATGTTCTGTTGCTGCAGACACTGCATTTTGCGGATAGGGAGAAGACTGAGGCCGCCATTGCCGAGGTGTTGGTCGGGCTTAGCTGCATTTTCCGGTACGGAAACCGGCGACTAGGTGTGTGATTATGTTGTTGTCGTTGTTTTTTTGTTTTTTTGTTTTTTTTTTTGTTTTTTTTTTTTT